AGCATTGTTCTTTTTTCTCAGGATTGCTTAGGCCATTTAGAGTGTTTTGTAGTTCCATGTAAATTTTAGCATTCTTTGTTCTATTTCCATGAAGAATGTCTTTGGGATTCTGATTGGGATTGCATTGTATCTGTAGATTGGTTTAGGTAAGATGGAAATTTTAACTATGTTAATTTTTTCTGTGTGTTCTGTGTATTTATCACCTTGCTCAAAGCCTTAGATTTCTTTTTCTTTATGTTCAGGATGGAGGGCATCTTTCAACATCTTTTTTAAGGCAAGTCTAGTGGTGAACTCCCTCAGCTTGTCTGTCTGGGATAGCCATTAATTCTCCTTCATATGTGAAGGACAGCCTTGCTGGGGAGAGAGTATGCTGACAGTGTTTATCTTTGAATATTTTGAATATCTCATTTCACTCTTTCTTGGCCTGTAGATTTTCTGCTGAGAAATCCACTGATGACTTAATGGGGTTTCCTTTGTAAGTTATTTTCTTTTCTATGGCCACCCTTAATGTTCTTCCTTTGTCATTGCCTTTCTTTTTCTTTATCGTGAAATTTTTATTGTACATTACTGTTTGTCAGTTACCATATAAATGCATCCCTTCGTCCCTAGTACTTACTGTCATTGATTTTTGATACATTTAATATAATGTGTCTTGGAGGAGGTTGTTTTGCTTTGAGACAATTAAGTGTTCTGTTAGCTTCATGTCCTTATATTTCCAGTTCCTTCCTCTGGTTTGAGAAGTTCTTAGCTCTTATTTCTTTCAATAAGCTCTCTTCTCCTTTCTCCCTCTCTTTTCCTTTTGGGATACCCATTATCCTTATTTTGCTTTTCCCTACTGAGTCAAATATTTCTTGTACAATTGCTCTACTTTTTAAAAATCTTAGTTCTCTCTCCTCTTCCACCTGAATCTTTTCTAGATTTCTATCTTTGAGCTTGGTAATGCTCTCTTCCATATGGTCTGCTCTATTTTTAATGCTTTCTAGTTTATTTTTAATGTCACTTATTGTGTTCTTAACTTGCAGAATTTCTGAGTTCTTTTTTTTTTCTGAGTGTCAATCTTTTTGGTTAGGTACTCTTTCTATTCGTTAATTTTATTCCTGTGCTTAGTGAACTGTCTTTCTGAGTTCCCGTTAACCCATTGAGTGTCTTCATGATAGATATTTTGAATACTCTGTCAGTTAGTTCACAGGCTTCTGTGACTGCAAGTTTGGTTTCTGGAGAAATGTCTTCCTTCTTATTGTACCGAGTTTCTGTGGATTTTAACAGTGCTTGCTGAGTTTTTCCTCTGCTGGTGCATTTGGGTAGCAAACCCCCTTTGACTTGAGTAAGGCTTCCTTATTTTGATTCTGGAGCTACTTCTGGTTATATTTGAGAGCCTGAGCTTTCCACCTCTGTCTGTCAGAGGAGTTGTCAGTGTCCTTGTGCTCCTTGTGCCTCTGAGATTGCTGGTACCTTGCTGCTTATTATACTGCTGCAGTTGTTGGTGTCATCTCTCAGGTCACCAGGCTGTAACCACCTCTGCTGCCTCTGGGGTTGCCTAGGTTGTGGGTTCTACCACTAGAGTGAGGGCAATGGGGAGAGTGGTGTGATGGCCAGGGTCACGGGAATCTCTGTGACATCTTGAGTGTCTGCCGGCACTGCTGCAATGGGTAGGGGGGCTGAAGTTGTGGGCACTTATAAGGCTGGAAGGGTCATGCACCCTGTTGTTGCTGTCGCCTGGCTCTCCACAGGCTCTCCCTGGGCTCATGCGCTGCTGCCATGTGTGCTCTCTGCACTGTTGCTCCTGGGTTGTCTGAGGGTGCTGGCGATGTACTTCTGGGGATACTTGGTTTGTGAGTTTTGCTGCTGCTGCTCAGTGGGCCGGGGTTATAGGTGACACTGCTACTGCAACAGCCACAAAGGGGAGGGTTACCTAGGTTACAAGCACCACCATGGCTTCCTAAGCCTCTGGTAAGTGCCTACATAGTTCCTGGAATTTCGGGTCACTGGCACTGCCACCACTGCCACCACTGCCTTGGCCCCAGGGTATTGTATGCAACACTGGTAGGGCTGTTGTCGGGGCCACCACTGTTGGGGTCTGAGTCACAGGCACTACTGTGGCTTTTGCAGCCTCCAGTCTCAGGTGCTGGTGGGAATCCTGGAATCTCAGGTTATGGGCTACACCACTGCTGCTGGATGGCAGAGTCTTGGATGCAGCCCCTGCTGCTGGCTGGACCAGTGTGGGAAGGTGCTGCCACCAGGGTTGGTGGAGGGGCCTCATTTTCAGGTATCATTGCAGTTCCCAGAGCCTCTGGTGGTGTGCCTGCAGTGACTCCTGGTGCCTCCAGGAGCATGCACTGCTTGGATTCCTGGGGCTTCTATTGATGAGTGTTACCTCAGTTGTTGGGGCCTCCAGTTCCAGGTGTGGCCATAGTTCCTGGAACTCCTGGTCTTGTGAACTGCTGCCACTGCTTCACTGGTTCCACCACATATGAGAAGTCCAGTCAGCCCACTTCCAGATGTATAGATGTATGGATCTCTCAGGCATTCTAGTATGCTGTGCAGAGTCCTTTTTTGGTCCATGGATGTCCTACTGGTTGTAATTTAGAGAGAAGAGACAAAGGGAACAACTCGGCCGCGAGACGGACATTATTCCAAAAGTGTTCTTTTTTTATTTGATGTCACAACAGTTTATAACGTTGTCAAAGGTTGTTGAATTTTTAACATAAAGTAGTTAACCTTTAAATACAGAACGTAAAAAGACAAACACGAAGAAAGTCTGTGGAAGAAATGAGTAAATATAAAAGACATGGCTAGAACATAGAACTGATGAGTAGAATGAAAAGGTGGTTCCTGAAAAGATGCATAAAAGAGACAAATGTTGAGTTAAGTATGATATGGTATTGCCCTTTTCCCAAGGCAAGGTGAGAGCACAGACCTACTAATTTGAGTGTTTCCAACGAAGATCTGTGGGGGCTTCCCAGTACTTTAGTGTATTCTGAGTTCTTTTGTAAAAACATTGATGTACTTTTTCTAATCTTTTAGTGTCAGATGTAGAAGAGCTAATGATTATTTCCCTATTCTTCCATTGTCTTGATCCAGAACCAATAGAATATATGTGCTTGTGCTCACTCTCTCCCCCTCTCTCCCTCTCTCCCTCTCTCCCTCTCTCCCTCCCTCTCCCCCTCTCCCTCCTCCCTCCCTCCCTCTCTTCCTCTCTCTCTCTCTCTTTCTGTGTGTGTGTATGTTAGGACACCCTTTATTTTCTTACCAGCTTGATTTTTTTTCCCCATAGCAGTTATGAATTGGTATGTCACTTATTACTTTATTGTCTCTATTCTCCAGTGAGAGTGTGGGGCCTTTAATACCTAGGACATTTTCTTTATAGTTACTGCTCTCAACTGAGTGCCTAGTACAGGGACATAAGATCACTGTTATTTACTGTGAGACTATAAGAATAAGGCAGCAATAAGAACTTAAAAGGAGGCCCAGAGCTTCAGACTTCTTCAGTATCTATCAGGGAAGCTCAAGAACGTTGACCAAATAAAATACATCGTTTTTCTTCCCTTCAAATGCCCAGGGGCAGTCTTGACCAGTGCTGTCCAGTAAAATGTGTAGTTCCTATATATAGTGAGAATATTTACTTAGAAGTAGCATAAAAATATTGCGATAGTTTACATTATTTTGTACATTCAAAGCATTCTAATTTTACTGCACACTAAATTTTTATCAGGCATACTTGTTTTGTGTTCAGAAAACACAAAATTTAAAGACAAAAGACTGGATTCAAATACTCAGGTTGTTCCAAATATATAAGTGAGCTATAAGATTCCAGTGAGACATCTAGTACAGATGGTCTTCCGTAAATGATGATGTCACTGATACTCTTGCTATAGAGCATATTGTTTTAGTAGCTTTGAGGTTCACATTTCATAACACAGAGTCCTTTGGTCTGGACCTGAGCAGTCATGCTGCTGGTTTGTCTAGGAGAAGCTTAAGTGGGCCAGGGAATGCTGTTCTCTATGTCAGCTATGTAGAAAGGCTGCATAATCTCATTCATCAATTTTATTGCCTTGATAAATGAAGAGTCACATTCCTCAGGGCTTAAGTTTTGATCCCTGTAAAATGAAACAATTTCATTTCTCCTGATAGCATGACTCACAATTCCCTGTTGTGGCTTCAGGTGAGACAGGACTACTCTGACAGTTGATGGCAGTAGTGTGTATTTATGTGAGATTTCTTGAGTGTGTGGGAATATTTGAGAATTTCAGGCTAGAATGGAATGACTTCCAGGTCTGTGAATGTGGGAATTATGGTCATCTCATGCTTTCTTTCTTTTCTCCTAGGTCTTCTAAGGACCCTTTCTGCCTTCCTGAGTCAAAGATAGAAGCAGAAAGGATGGTGACTGAGTGTTGGACAAATTATTCTCAGGTAATTAGAAAGTGTATGCTTCTACAAAATGACATACCGCACCCACTGGATAGACACCTTTCTTTCTAGGTACACTTCTCTCCAGGGTTCTTCAGGAAGTCAGGCCACTGATGGACTGAGTCCCCGTTGTTTTCCCACCGAAAGTGGACCCTCTCATTGGTTCATGTAAATAATCTCAGTATTTTTATAATTACCTCCTACTGTTGTTTCATAATGGCAATTGCACATTTTTTTGTTTTGCTGCCTGCTCTGGGATGGTAATGAAGATGAACGTGTGCATTTCTCAAAGAACTTGTACATTCGTCAGCTTTTTAAAGTGTCCACAATTTGCCTAGGACTGTTCCGCCAGAGGGAATTAAGATGAGAAGAGCTTTTAGTCTAGTTGTGGTGAGATAAGTTCATGCGTTAGAGGTTCCATTAAAGCCATAAGTGGAGGATATCAACCATGAGTGAGTCTAGATAGAGAGGAGAAAACCTAGGACCATTGAACCCTGGGGGAGATGATGAGAGACCTTGAAATCCTTTCTTGCCCTTTGGTCTCCCATGTTCATCACCCAGTGAACACTGGTGGAGATGTTACTTTACTGAAGCCAGCTTGCATGTGATGGTTAGGACTCAGTTACCTTCGCTGATGTGGCTGTGAACTTCACCCGAGAGGAGTGGGCTTTACTGGACCGAGCTCAGAAAAATCTATACAGAGGTGTGATGCTGGAGAACTACAAGAACCTGATCACAGTAGGTAAGGTTGCTATCATTCCTGTAGTCTCTTATGGAACAGACATATATGATTTATTTACTATGTTCCAATATTGGTGATGTGAAATCTGCACATAATGGAAACTAAGGTACAAGTCTCTACACTAATGGGTTTTAATGTAGTGTGGTTTCTGTAAAATTGTGGTTCGAGGAATAACACTATCCCCGTCACTCTCTTAGAAATATGCATTCTCAGAATCCACTTTTGACATAATGAATGAATCTCTGGCATTATACCCAGACATCTCTATTTTAATGAAAACGGTGGACATGATTCTGATGGACAACAGAGTTTGACAACCACTGGTGTAGTGATTTCTCCATGACAATGAACATTTCTTTTTGCATTTACTTTATTTCCTGTTTCAATAAAAGTTTTAATACTTTTTAATGTATATATATCTGAACAGGGGTTTCAGGGGCTGGAGACAAGAAATCTCTTTGATACACAGAAAGAGCGTATTTGCGTTTTTATCTCTTTTGAAATAATGTTACTATGTTCACTGGAAATATAGGAGTTGATTCATGGGAATATTTGTCATCTTTTGCAGAGGGCTTTACCATTAATGTATCTTTTCCCATGAACAGAGTATCAGTTGTTCAAACCCAACCTGATTTCTTGGTTGGAACAGGAAGAGTTGAGAATAGTGGAGACAGGAGCCTTCCAAGGTGAGAAATTCTGAAGAACTTCCCTGGTCAATGAAAATGTCCCTATGTTTGGAATTAGCAGTGAGAAAGCTTTACGAGGTGATTTCTCTAGAAGGCCAAAGTCATTGGTCTCTAATGCTGTGAGATATCATCAGCTTCTCATACGTACTTTACACTTACTGAGAATTTCCTATGAACTCAGAAAAAAACTTGTTCTGTGTCTGTTTTAAGTTAATCATTTGGTGTATGTTGTTTATCCAGAACTTTGCTACATTCTTTCCTTGATCATATTCTGTCCCTTTTCATCATATTTAATTTTCATAGGATCATTTTAATAAACTGAATTTTTGACTACACATCCTTATGATTGCAAAATTTTTGACATAGCAAAACTCTTCTCCTATGTCTTGCCTTTTATTTAGTATGTTTAACTTAGAAATAATACAGATGAGCCTTACTGTTTTTAACCACTTTAATGTACATTTCTTTCTGTATATTCCTACACGTTTCATTCTTTTTTTGTTTTAGAATGGGAAACGCCACTTAAAACCAAAGACTCAGCAATTTGCCAGGATATTTTTTGGGAAAAAGCATCCGATAGGATAGAAATGGTGAGTTTGAAAAGATGTATTTCTTATTTTCCACATTTAGAAAAGATTGAGATTTTCATCAGATAGAACATGTGAGCAAGCGCTAGATATTTGGGATGAGTGGCATTCGCCCAAGACAGAGCAATGGTCCTGTAGAGGTTCTCTGAATATGTTGAATTTGGGAATATTTTAAACCTATCTTAAAAGTTGTTGCTTCAGAATTCCCAGAAGATCTCATTCTCCCTTATATGACTTGCTGTTGAGTTTTTAAACAACTCCATGAAACTACAGGAATCTTTTAAGATTAGAGTAGATGGCATATCCTTCTGGCAGAAGGATTCCATCATTCAAGTTCAAAGAAATGAACAGGGTAGGAAGTGTATACAAATGATAAAAATTGTCATCGTAATGGTGTTTTTGCTTTGAGATGGGTGAGATAAATTAATGAATTTGAGAAATCTTTGAATTATCGTTCATTTTTTCATCAACAGGAAAGCATACACAATGGGTGGGAACTCGGTGATTCTGAGCAATGTGGGAAAGTCTGCAGTGAACATTCAGGCCTGAAGACACACAGGAGAGCTCAAAATGGTGGGAATACTCATAAGGATAATCAGCATGAAAAATGCTTCATTGCTCTGTCCAAGAAAACCTCTACTGAAGAGAAACTTGCAATGTTTTATCCGTGGGGAAAAGCCATCAGCCCAACTCCAGATGTGTACTGGAAAACTAGCATGCAAGAGAAAGCCTTTGAATGCAGTGTGGGTGGGAAAGCCTTTGTTAATCAATCTTACTTTCAGGTGCAAAGAAGAACTCACAATGGAGAAAAATTCTATGAATGTAAGAAATGTGGGAAAGCCTTCACTAAATCCTCAGGCCTTGTTCGCCACATAAAAACTCACAGTGGAGAGAAGCCTTTTGAGTGTAATATATGTGAGAAAAGGTTTATAAGTCCTTCCCACTTAATCATTCACAAGCGTACTCACACTGGAGAGAAACCTTACAAGTGCGAAGAATGTGGGAAAGGCTTTAGTTGTTCTGTGCACCTTAACTGTCACAAGCGAACTCACACTGGGGAGAAACCCTATGAATGTAAGGAGTGTGGGAAACGCTTCAGTCATTCCTCAGGCCTTATTAGCCACATAAATACGCACACTGGAGAGAAGCCGTTTCAGTGTGACACATGTGGGAGAGCCTTTGCTGCTTCGTCAAATCTCAGTAACCATTTGAGAACTCACAGGGGATGGCAGCCTTTTGAGTGTAATATATGTGAAAAGAGATTTGCAAGTTCTTCATATTTAGTCATTCACAAACGTACTCACACTGGAGAGAAACCCTATAAATGCACCGAGTGTGGGAAAGGCTTTAATTGTCTTTTGGGCCTTAACAGTCATAAGCGAACTCACAGTGGAGAGAAACCCTATGAGTGTAAGGAATGTGGGAAAGCCTTCAGTCGATCCTCAAGCCTTATTGTCCATATAAATACTCATAATGGAGAGAAGCCTTTTAAATGTGACAAATGTGAGAAAGCCTTTGCTACTTCCTCACAACTGACTAATCATTTTAGAACTCACACTGGAGAGAAGCCTTTTGTATGTAATATATGTGGGAAACGATTTACCACTTCTTGGTACTTAATCATTCACAAGCGTACTCATACTGGAGAGAAACCCTATAAATGTAAGGGATGTGGGAAAGCCTACAGTCATTCCTCAGGACTTAATGACCATATAAAAACTCACAGTGGAGAGAAACCTTTTAAATGTGACATATGTGGCAAAGCCTTTGCTACTTCCTCAAAAGTGACTAGACATTTTAGAACTCACAGTGTTTAGAAGTCTGTTTAGTGTAGTATATGTGGGAAAACATTGGCTAGTTCTTTGTACTTTGTCATTTATAAGGTGACATTGGAAACAAACCTTATAAATGAAAGGAATGTGGGAAAACTGAAGGTTTTCCCACTCCCTTTCAGTGTAATTAAAGAACTCACCTGGAGAGACATCCTATCAGTGTAAGGAATGTGCTAAAGCCCTCAGTAGTCCCAGTTCACTTCAAAGACATGAAAGGCCCACACTGCAGAGATGCTGTCCAAATGTAAGGACTGAGGGAAAACCATCAGCATCTACTCACAGCCTAGCATGTAAGGCTTGACAGTGAAGCTATACTATTAAGAAACATGGAAAGCCCTTCCCTGTTTCTTCAGTGAAATATATATCTCTTATATATAAGAGATCTTGTGGTGGAGAGAAATCCAACTAATGTGAGATACGGAGGAAAATTGAACTGCTTATGTTCACTTGTGATCTCACTGTGGAGAAAAACTTTATAGTTGTAAAATATGTTGTAGAGTCATCATTTTCCATTGGATTCTTTCTCGTCTGTAATAAAGTTGGGGTGATTCACAGTCAAGAAACTGAATATGGGAAGTGTGTGAAGTGCTATCCTGTGTGTGAATCTTAGGGTCTTCTGAGATGCATAGTGTTCTAGTTGGTTCTATAGATCTGTTTTAATCCTTTATGAGTAGGCCCTGAGCATTTCTGTGCATGTGTTTCTCTCCAGTGATAGGGCAGTCTAGTTGCTACACTTTCCATGTTGCAGCCTGGTTAAAAGTGGGTCCACAGACTTCACACTTAAGCCTCTTCTAACCACCTGGATTCTCTTAATGGATTGAAACGGACTTACATTGTGAAGACAGCAACTGCTTGACTGTGTATGGTGCTCACCAAACTCATTTAGAGTGAGTCACACCAGCCAACATGATGGTTAAAATACATCTTCATAAATTTTGTAAAATTACCTTGTTCCTCTCACACATGATCCTTTCAGATAAAAAATCAGTTTCAAGCATGGGATGAGTGGGAGGAAAAGTGAGATTACACCTACCATGTGTGACACCCTGTTTTTCTGACCTTTCTGGGTGAACAACAACCCTGCCACCTGGGGAGGACCTTTGACTTCAAGCCCATACAAGATGATTGTGAGAATAATGAATGCTCTCTTTCACTCCATACCCAACACCACGGCCTGGGAAAACAATGATATTTGAGTCAAGCGACAGCTGTTGCTGGTGAATCACCTGCTTCTGTGTTTGTCATTCTATCTGCGGGCTGTGAAAAAAGAACAACTCGTGAATGTAGCTGGTCCTGATAATCTGCTATGCTTCATGCCCTCACTGGGAGATCCTGAATATGAACCTTGGGTGTAGACACAGATCAGCACAGTATGGTTTCAGCCTCAGTGATACAAATTCACATAGTTTGGATGGTCAGGAAGCCTTGGGTTATGTCAAATATGGCCTTTAGGTGTGCAGCTGCTTAATGACACTTTCTTGAGGATTAATCAAAGCACTGTATGAATATGTAAATCAAGCTTAATAATAAATCCAGAAGAAGGATTCTCTGTACACATTTGTGTTACATATTTGTATGTGTGGAGTATGTCATGTTGTGGTTCACTTTGGGTATGTATATTGTTATTCAGTCCATCTGTTGCCTTTTTAACTATTGGCAAGAACACCAAAGATCAGCAGATTAGTCTTAACCTTTTGTGTGCGGTGTAAGGCTCATAGATTGTCCTCAAACAACTTAGTAATTGTGTGAAAGAAGACTTAGGGGTCCTATAAGAATTTGTCATAGTTGCCTCAGTGTAGGACCTTGTTGGTAGTGTTTGAGGTCACTCCTGCAGATTGGCTGCATTCCGCTCCCTGCACTCTGAGTGATAGCATCCTCAATAATTGCTGTACAAGAACAATAGAGCAGATTTAAAAATAGAGCAAAATAGTCCAAGCTTTTGTTGGTCAGCAGGTTGGTCAGCAGCTGACAAAGTGGTATGTTCATGTGGACAAACTCCAAAAGCCAAGCTGATGTGAGCCATTTATGCTCCAACACAGGTGAGCCTTTAAAAACATTCTAAGTGGGCCTAGCGCAGTGGCACAGTGGTTAAGTGGGCATGCTCTGCTTTGGTAGCCCAAGGTTCGCCGTTTCGGATCCCGGGCACGCACTGACGCACCGCTTGTTAAGCCCTGCTGTGGTGGTGCCCCACATAAAGAAGAGGAAGATGGGCACCGATGTTAGCACAGGGCTAGTCTTCCTCACCAAAAAATAAATAAATAAATAAAAACATTGTAAGTGAAGAGAAGCTATTGATAAAAGATTGTATGATTTCATTTATATGAAGTGTCTAGAAAAGTCAAATCTATAGAGACAGAAAGATTGTGTTCACTTAGATATTAAGAGAGAAGGGAAATGGGGGATTTGAGAGCCAAAGGCTGCTTTTGAATTGATGAAGAAGTTCTAAAATTACGATGATTACCCAAGTCTGTGCTTTTGCTAAACAACATTGAAGTGTATAGATCTAAATGGATGCATTGTGTGGTACGTGAATTATATCTCAATGAAGTTGCAAGAAACAAGAGAAAATTATGATAGTCCCTACACCATTGGGTAGTTCTGAGCATAATATAATGCCTGTGAAGCATCTAGCATGGTAAGATGCAGCAAACTTTAGCTACCATTGTGTTTTTACCAGTATATATTAAACCTTAAGATAGGGCCGGCCCTGTGGCTTAGTGGTTAAGTGCTCACGCTCCGCTGCTGGCAGCCCAGGTTCGGATCCCGGGCGCGCACCGATGCACTGCTTCTCCGGCCATGCTGGGGCCGTGTCCCACATGCATCAACTAGAGGAATGTGCAGCTATGACATACAACTATCTGCTGGGGTTTTGGGGGCAAAAAAATAAATAAAATCTTTAAAAAAAAATGAAAATAAAAAATAAACCTTAAGGTAAAACTGTTATAATCAAAGCATATGATATGGGCAGAAGTAAGTATTACTGGAAAGAAGAATCTAGATGTGAATACTGGTGGATATGTAGGAATTGTTTAATGTGGAATTGCAAATCAATAGATCAAGAACAGTTTATTGATAAGTACAACAATTGGCTGCCTTGTTGAGGAAACAAAATTGGATCCACTACCCCACACCACATGTGAAAATACATTTGATGGGGAATAAGATTAAAACGTCTTTAGAAGTAGTAAACTTAAGAAGAAAATTAGGAAATCTGTGTGTAATCTGGTGTTTGGGAGACATTTTAAGGCAAGGCAGGAAACCGAGAAATTATTTTACAGAACAGACTCCTTTAGTTACAAAAAAATTTAGTATTTTGTAAAGCAACAGAACAAATATTAACATAGCAAAATAGTTATTAATTCAATAGATGCAAAACACACTTGTTTCTGTCCATAAACAATTCTTGGTAAAATGTATTAGTAAATCAGAATTTAAAAAGATTTTTATTAATTTCACCATGGCCACTTACTGAAATCCACTGCAAACATGATTAGCAGAGAAACTTTAAAACCATTTCTAACCGACAAATTCCTGGTGTTGCTATTTCATAGTGTGGGAGGTTCTCGACCATATGTAAAATTAGAAATAATTATTTGAAGAAGAAAAAAAAAAGATTATTTGAAAGTCATCATAGTAAAGATATAAAGGAAACGATTAGAGTTTAGTGTGGTGTCTGATGTAAACAAAATAAATAAGGGGAAATAAAGACCTAAGGATGGGATTGATAGAAGGGAGGAAATCTATTTCATGGATTGTCAGGCATACCATTGCTGAAGAATTCTAAGGGCTCTAGGAATGTGAGGTGAAACAGGTAGAAAAGCTTTTGATGAAAACTCCCACCTCCAATCACAGCCATGGGCATGTGCCCGGCCCTCTGCCTGTAGCTCAGCCTACCAGCTTGGTTCAAGCCTCAACCCTGTGTCCAGCTGTCTTCTGTCTCCAGCCCACATGCTGAGAAAGCTCAGGGCCCATCTGCGTCCGTGCAGTTGTTAACTAGAATTTCTCAGTCTTTTTTTTTTTTTTATAATTTTATTTATTTTTCCCCCAAAGCCGCAGTAGATAGTTGTATGTCATAGTTGCACATCCTTCTAGTTGCTGTATGTGGGACGTGGCCTCAGCATGGCCCGAGAAGCGGTGTGTCGGTGTGCGCCCGGGATCCGAACCCCGGGCCGCCAGCAGCCAAGCGCACGCACTTAACCGCTAAGCCACTGGGCCAGCCGAATTTCTCAGTCTTGAGTGGTCTAACTTGGCTGACAGCCTGATCCTCAGAGCTCAGCTCCTCTGACCCCAGGCAGGAAGAGGAAGTGGTTGACTTGTTCATCAGTGTTTTTCTCCTGTCTGCTTCTGGTGTCTTGGAGACTTCCACCTTGATGGTAGTGCAGCCCAGCCCGGCTTTGGTGAGGCCAGCACAAAAGGGAGGGGCGTTGAAGGAGGAGACAAAGGGTGTGTTTGCTCCGGGCTGCTGAGAGGACCACTTAGGGAGTCCTGGCATGTGCCCTTCGCTTCCACCATGGTCCCAGGTTCTACCAGCACCGCAAGGTCCTAGAACCCTTTTGGGGCCTTGTTCCCTGCTAGGAATTGTGTTGGGAAATACTGCAAGGGCCTGTGGGCAGGGTCTCTTCATCCACTATGCTTCCCTCTTCAAAAGCCTCTTAAACAATCTTTGTGACTTGACTCCAGAAGGAAAAGAACTGCTGGTGGAGTGACATTGACTCAGCCCACACATCGTCTTGTCCTCAGGGATCTGGCAATTCTGGCTGATCCTGGGGAGCACTGGGTGAATGTTGGTTCCAGAGGGCCTCTGTTTCCTTCTATACACAGAAGAATGTTTCATCTGGGAATTCTGTTTAGTCTTTGCATGTCCTTCACTTATTTTTGACACATTACATTCAGGTAGAAAGACATTTTCTTAGATGTCTATGATGTGCGTACTTATGTATATAAATATAATAGCATAAAGAATGTGGAAAAGCCTTTGTATAATC